CTCCTCCCTGTCCCACACCACACCTGTGCCTGCTGCCCTGCAGCCCAGGGGCTCCTGGTCCCTGGAGTGAGCTCCCTTCTGCCTTGACCTAGACACTGCCCCAGGCACGCAGTGACTCCCCACTCACCCCCCAGCCCTTCTCCTGAGGCCTGCAGAGGGGCACCTGAACACTCAAGTGTTCTGGGGCAGGATGGTGGCTTTATGGCTTCACGACCCCGCACAGCCGGGGGCAGCACTGGCTGTTTTGCCTAAGAAGAAGCCGGGAAGTTCAGGCTGACTGTGCTGCTGGGAAGGTGCGGCAGGGACAGCTGCTGCAGGGCTGCGGGTGAGGCAGGAGCTGGGCACAGCTCCCCGCAGAAACAAGTCCTGGGGTCTTCTTGCTCTGGAGAGGTGCACCCCAGGAGCTGGAAACACCAGCAGGGCTTCGGGGAGCCTTGCTTTGCTGTGTGGGGTTGGGAGAGCAGAGCCAGCTCAGAGGCCAGCTCCTCACTGAAGACATGGAGTGTGCAAGAGGTTCAGAGGAAATCCATGGGGCAGCTCAGGGTGCTTGATGCCTGGTGAGCCCATTCCCTGCAGCTCTGGGGAGACCAAACAGTGAGCTGCTCACAGTTTGTGTGTGCTTTGCTTGGGGATGAGGAATAAATAGTTCCTTGATGGAGCAGACAAAGATGTAACAAGATCTAGTGGCTCTAAGATGATGTCAGACGAACCATGACTTGGAGTAAGGTGCAAAGTCTGAGGGCTGCTATTAGATATCCATGGAATATTTTTATGTAGATCGGGATGGATATTTCCCCAAGCACTTTTAAAATGAATTCTGGATGCTTTTCTGCTCTGGGACCTCCTCTATCCTGCATCAGGTTGGAGGTCACACTAAATGCAGTAGAACTGATTGCTTTGGACTTCAGTAATCCATTTGCTACAGTGCTACATTGTGAGTTATTAGTTAAGATGGAGATAAGTACAGGAATTATGAGAGATTATAGAGTTCCCCAGTGGCTGGTCCCGGGCCTAGTTCTTATTAATGATCTTGGCACACTGAAATGGATGTATTAATGAAATTGGCTTCTGATCCGAATTTGGCAAGCATTGTAAATACAGGGGAGGACTGGGATATCCTATAGGAGCAGGTAGGCAATTTTGGTGGCTGAGACTGTAGAAATGGGATGAAATGCAATAGTATAACATGTAAGGTTATGTTGTTGCTAGCTGAGAGCAGACTTTTCTGTTGCAAGTTGGCAGCAGGGACTTACTGCTTGGAAAGAACAGTGGAGAAGGATGTCAGTGTGAGGCAGGTTCCAGTATTAGGCTGTTCAGTTTCTGCTCTGGGCATTGCTCTCTCTCAGCTGAGGTGGGGAAGCCCCACAGTTTGATGTGCGCTGGAACCGCCGCTGGTGGCTGCAGGCAGCAGTCTGTAACAGGTTGCACATCTTGGACGCACTGGAATCCAGCTGGGCTGAGAGAGAGCCCAGCAGGGCTACTGAATGTGTGAGTATTGTAGGAAGTATTTCACATTTGGCAACGCTGGCTGGGGTTTGACAGCCTGAACTGGGGCTGATGTAACCCAAACAGCATCTGTTCTTGGGGAGATCAAGAGATGCAAATGTGTGGGCCTTTTCTGCCTATCAAAGCCCCTTACACCTTCAAGAGGGAGGAACCTCCTGTTTGAAGCTTTGACATTATTAGGAGATTTTGTCCTGCAACTCACATAAATAACAGAATATTTGCAATTGTTTCCCTCCTCCAAAACCCCTTAAAGATGGACCAAATACTTTGGGGTGTGTGGAGAAAAAAAGTTGCAGAAAAATCACACCAGCGTGCTTGGTGCTGCCAGTGTGCTGCTAGTGTGGAGCAGGCTACAGCAGCAGTCCTTGCTGCATGTTCTGCTTCCCAGTGGAAGCTTAATGTTTTCAATGAACTGGCACATGTTGAAATCAGGAGTCTGGCTGTCCGCCTGATACGAAAACTGGGTAAGGAAGAAAGGCGCAGCACTGTGTCACTGCTTGCTACTGGAATTGCCCTGCATCCCATAAATCCTACTGCTGCTTAACAAAACCTGCTCTGAATAAGGTGATCCTTGTTTTCTCCCACAGTAGTGCTACCATGTGGGCCTTCCACCACTGCTGTAGCTTTAACTAGGTATGTATGCCCTTGCCCTAAAGGTTGTCTAGGACCAGGAGCATGTGGGAGGGCTCAAGTGTGATTGCTTTCCCAGACTCTCCTGGCTTTCTCTCAGATAGGAGGATCAGACACAAGCTCCATTCATAGGTCCAGTCCAGTAATCAACAGCAAACACCATGTGAGTGGTGGACCCTGTTAGTCGATTCTGCGTGACAGGGTTTGGGTTGAAACCAGATGGAGAGAGTCCATGCTTAGGTGTAGAAACTTGTCTGTGAAAGAAATGCCTGCGTAGTTCTCACTTGCTATTTAGATGAGAGGGGGTGGCAGCGCTGTGATTTACAGTGAGGCAAACTCACTGAACTGAAAAACTGAAACAGTAAGTTGAAAAACTGAACAAGTAAGGCAGGCTGAGAGCTGAGAACACACCTGAAACTGGGAAAGAGAAACCCTGGCACCACGGATCTGGACAAGAAAGGAAGCAGGCACAGAAAATGGCTTTAGACAGCCACAGCAGCACCAGACATTCATCCTGTTACCTGTCTCCTCCTCAGTTGAGTGGAACTGCTCAAGGCTCAGGATCAAGTGCTGCCTGTGGTGTCACCAGTAGAACAGAGAATTAATCTGTTCAAAAAAGGTAACCCCAATGTATAAAGCAAGTGAGATCCATTTTAGCCACCTCATGAAATGATGGATGAAAACTTTTTTTCCACTGTTGCTCTCCCCAAGCAGGCAAAAATGTGTCAGGGTGGGTGACAAATCTGGTTCCAATGAGTGGATGAGTATAGAGGGACTCAAGGCAAAACAGATTTTAGGTTCCATTCTTTCTGCATGTCTGCTATTCTCTCTCATCAGGTATCTCTGAAGTCAGAAGTCAAAGGTCTGAGGCAAGTTTTGATTCCCCAAAGGCCTAAACATTTTCTTTCCTGCACGTGGACTTCACACTCCTTCAGCTGGCCTGAGATTCCTGTCACACAGGTGGGCAGCAAGCAGCACAGTGTGCCTTGGGGGAAGCTGGGATGTTAGTGGGGTGGTGTCTGGGATGGGGACCCTGGGGAACGGTGAGGAGGGACTTGGGTCAGTTCCAAACAAGTGAACCCACTTGTCCTGCTGGTTTGTGGTCTGTCTGTCCAGGGTGGCACCTGGTACTGGATCCTACCTTGCCTCTGGAAGGAACACCAGGCCAGCTAACTGCCCGTGGCCACAGCTGGCAGTGCACTCCTAAACCAGGAGTTCCTGCCCTCCAGCTTCAGCATACACTGCCCTGGGTGCTATGACACTGCTCTTAGGATGCTCTTTCCCATCAAGAAGGCCAGCCGTAAGTGTACATTTGTACTCCTTCAGCAGCTACTACAACTCTGCCTCTTGGTATATATGGAACTGCATTGTTGTGGCAGCTCCTCCGAGGAGCAGATGGGAACTAGAAAATGCAGGGACATATCCCCCATGGCCGTGGTGGTAAAGCACAGGATGGGGTGGAAACTGCCCTCTCTACCTCATGAATACTTGAATCTTAAGAGAACAACGAAGTATCTGGAAGATCATAACTTCATAGAGGCAACCAGCCTGGCTTCAAAAAAGGAAAATCACATCTCACTTACCAAATTCCTTGAACATGTCAAGGTTTGTAAAGGGAGATAGTATCTTTTATTAGACCAATTGATGTAGCTGGAAAAAACAGATAAGCTTTCAGGCACAGAAACACTTCTTGTATGGTTTTTTTCCAGCTGTATCAGTTGCTCTAATAAAAACCTATTACCTCTGCCCACAAATCTTATTTCACTTAATCCTTAGATCATCACAGTCACAGCACAACTACTTGAAAATGTCAGTAAGGAATGGAAAAAAGAATTATTTGACACAATTTATTTAGACATCTGAAAGTTCTTCACCCAGTCTGTGAACTTCTACTAAAGCTAAGCAGGTATGGAGTGAGATGGGGGCCCTTTAGTGGAAGGTGTTCCTGGACGGCTGAAAACTTTAGGGTGATGCAGTCAGTTTTTCTCATGGCACAGTGTAGTCTGTGATGTGCTACAGTTGTTGAGTGTAGCAGATGAATAAATGGATGACACTTATTTAGGCTAATGAGGATGGGTGAAGATCCCAAGGAATGTCAGATACCAGAAAAATAATACAAGCAAATAGACAAAGCACTGGAGAAAGAAAAGTTTATTTAACATGTGGAGGTAAACCTATATCTACTTACAATTAATCTATGCATCTGTCCAGCCAAGAAAGGGACCAGGGGTTGTTTTATGCAGCTCAGTGGAAATCTCTGCACAACTTAGCTGGAGAGGCATACGTGTAATGATCTCTGAGCTTATATTTCATCCCTCCACTGAGTGCTCTGGGGACCAGCTGCTCCATCTGGAAAGCAGTGTTAAAGCTAGAGAGAATTGGGAAGAGCATCAGAAGCAATCAGGAGACTTGGCAAAACCGCTCTTTGAGGAGCCAGATCTACAAGGCTGGATTATCTGCCTTAGTGGGAACTTGACTAATACAGTAAAGAGCTGGAGAAGACAGAGTGTCAGGCAGTTTTTACCCTGCCCCTACTGCAGGTGAAACTAAAAACTGATCAGAGTACTTACATGATGCATTGTGCTGAGAAACTGTAGCTCCGCTGTCACTGTTAGGCCAAGGTTTCAGGACTGCTAACGGGGCTGGATATTTATATGGTTACCAGGAGCACCGAGCGTGGCAATACACCGCCGGCTGCTTGGCAGCACACCCAGCCGGTGATGAGCCAGTCTTTACCAGGTGCGCAGACTGCCCGCTGCCTCCGGCTCCTGGGCCAGGCCCCGGGCTGCCCCGAGGGGCCGGGAGAGGCGCCCACGGGCACAGGCTGAGTTCCGTGTGTATAGTACCCGGGGCTGGCGCAGGCCGGACCCGCGGGGTGGTGTGGGCCGGCGGCGCGGCCGTTGAGGGTGGCGGTTGCTGGGGCGGGCTGTGTGCCGGAAGCACCGGCGGCGGCGGTGGCTGCGGCGGCGGATGGAGGCTGAGCCGGAGCGAGCGGAGGCGCCACGGCGGGGGCTTATTGCCGGGGTGAGCAGGCCCGGCCCGCTGTGAGGCTGCTCTGCTGCCCGCGGTGCGAGCTGCCTGTTACCGGTCGCGTTGGCGCGAGAGGCCACCTCAGGGCCGGGCCCTGGTCTCTCTGAGAAGGGGCCTGTAATCGCGGGCCGCTCGCATGAGAGCGCGGCTGAGGCGGGCTCGGGGCCGGCGGTTCCCACAGCGCAGCGGCGGAGGCGGGGAAACGGCACCGGCAGCGTGGCGGGGGAGCTGCCCGTGGGCAGCGCCGCGGGGCTGGGCGGTGGGACCATGTGGCAGGCAGGGGTGAGCAGCCAGCGCAGCGGGCGCGGGCTGGGGTTGGCTGTGGGGTAACCGTACCGCTGCAGTGCTTTAAGCACTACCCAGGGGAATGTGCCTGGTTTCACGCACAGCGTGACGGCGGAGCTGCTGCTGCCGGTTTTCCCCGCTCTGAAGGGGCTTTTGTCAGTAACCATGTGCCCTTTGCTCCTTCGCGTTTCCTCCTGCACTACAGGTACTAGAGATGGGTCGTCGGGCCCGGCAGGAGTTTTTTCCAGATGAAAATCCGATCAGGAAGAGTTCCCAGTCTGCTTCTCTTGGAGAGGTGGGTGTCCTGTCAGGAGAACCTGGCTGTAATCCTGCTGGTATCTCCAGCGGACAAGTCTTCATTTCTGCTGAGATTCTTTCCCACTTGGTGTGCTCTGTCCCTCGAAGTTCATCTTTAGTGTTGGGAGCCATGTGACTGCCCTGTCCATTGGTGTTGCCCTCTGCATGAAGTGTAGTTTTCACAGAGGGTCATACCTGGGGCTACAGTTTCTCTTGTGTGACCTATGGAGAGTAGTATCAAACAGGACTTAGGGCATCTTCCTCCTGTACATGCGTATCTTCCATGAGCATTAAAATAGGAGCAGGCATACCATTTTGTGACGTTTACCACTGTCTATGGTAGCAAGACAGAACAGAGGTAAGCAGATGCCTTATTTTTGCTGTTTGTGTTTGCTAGAGCCAAGTGCAGTATCTGAGATGGTCAGTATCAAGATTGTTCCTCTGTACACAGGCTACAAAGGTCATGCTAGAAGCCAGCTTTGCCACATCTGAGACTTTGTCTTGTGGGTAATAACATGCAGACTTAGTTCCCACTTGGCTTTGGAGAAAAACTTTTGCTCAGATTTTGTTCTGTCAGTACATTTTCAAAAGGTAGCAGATGGTCCGGAGCCCCTCTTTCACGGGAGAGTGATGCAGCTCCCCCTCATACCCAGAAATGTGAGATGTGAACCCTTTCCATTCACTTTCTTGCTTTGTGCTGCAGAATGCTGAAATTCTACCTGAAAGTTTGCTCTCTCATGTTAGCACAGCTTCTCCAGAGATATCTCCTACTGGAAAGAGCACCTGTGGAGTAATGGATTTTGCTCCCTAATACCTTCAGATGGACAAAAGGGTCACCAGACTTGCACCTTATCGACAGTCATATTTGTTTAAATGAGATTGTCTTTAAATTACAGACCCACTTTGCCCTGCTGGCCACCCTGGCACTAACTGTGCTTCAGGCTACTGTGCTCAGAACCTTCTGTCTTGAGAGTGGCTACTCCCTGGTTCTCTGTGCCATTGCAAAACTCTCATTACTGACTACTGGTTCAGTAGTAGTTGTGTCCCAGCCATCTGTGCCAGAGCGGTTTTGTGGGGGAGTATCTCCTCACAGCCCCTGTGACACTATTGAAAATATGCTGTTATGGCTTAGCTTACAATAATACATCATAGAACAGTTGTGGGGTTTGGTTTTTGTTCTGGAGAAAGTATGGTGTTTTCTTTTGATAGGTGTAATGGAGAATCATTCCCCACCTATCCATTCTCCCCTCTTTGGGTATGCTGTAGGAGTTCAGGAGGGATTCCATGAGGGAGTTTGTAGAAGGCATAACTTAAGAATGGAAATAGCCATAGGTCCTGTAGGTAGAGAAAGTTTTAAAGAAACCAGTTGGTTTAAGTGGGTGTAATTGTTGGTTAGCCTTCAGATTAGGGTGGCTCACTGTCAAGATTGTTCTCTTACTGGAACTGGCTGTCCTAGTTCAAGGGCTGATTCCCTGGTTAGAAGAAGCCCAGGGCTGACTGTAACTTACTGCAGTTGTACTTTGTGTGTCTTGCTTCATAGCCATTATAATAGCTGGTAAGAGATCATAAAGGCTCCAGTCCTTGGGCACCCTTGGAGAGGACTAAAAAATAGTTACGAACTTTGGTACAAAAGCAGTGAGCTTTTCAGCAGCAGAAGGGTGAGGCCTTCCATGCTTTACAAGATTCAAATATGTTATTACTGGATCTTAACCACAGGAAGAACTGTTTGTGTCAATAGTCCCCCTTCAGACAGTTCTTTGTTGCTAAATGTTTTTGTTAACTGCAAACCTTGGAGCTACTGGAGAAGAGACAAAATCCACTATAAATAATCCTCAGCCTTTGCTCCAGAGTTGGAGGCTTCTCCTACACGATCATATTTGATACCAAAGCAAGCATTTAATAGGACTAATACTGTTTTTTCCTTCTTCCTACATTGGCAATCACGTTTTACTTTTCTGGAAGCTTGGCCTTGGCTTGCCATCAGGTGGTGGGGTCAGCTGTGATCATGGATGTCTCATTCAGTCATCTGGTCATCTTGAAACCTTTTCAAGGAAACTTCCCAAAAGAAATGCAAAATAAATTAAAAAAAAATAAATTTTTCTGGACCTGGCAGTAGTGGAAGAGGCCCCATGGAATTTATTTCAGCACAGGAGGTTTTATTCTTATTGTGGATTTTGAAGACCAAGGGGTTTGTCTTAAACCTTTGCCACATTCATACCTTCATGTGCAGTTTCACAGTCAGGATGGTGATTCTGCCCACAGTAGTTCCAGAGTGTTAAAACTGTTTTAAGATTTACCTTGACATTTTTTATTCTTTTTTTTTTGTAATTCCTTGTCAATCCACCCAGTTTCCACCCAGCTCAAATTTCTGGTATGAACATACTGTTTGTGCTATTGTTCTGGTCTTTTCATGACATTGAACAGTCCAGGAAGTGTTTTCCAGGCAGAGCAGCTTCCTTGAAGGAAGCAGAAAGTACCTGTCTATCCATGTTTCAACATTTGAGCTTATTAAAAGGGAATTCACTTTGAGGGGTGAAAAACTCATTTAACATAATTAAAAAGATCTTTGTTTTGAAGTGAGTAGGCAAATCATCTGACTTGGAGCATAGATCTTACCTGATTACTGCTGATCTCCTTGACCTGGACTCTGTCTTCCAAAAAGAGACTGTAATCAATGGTACATCTTCTCAACTGTGTGTTTTTTCTCATGAAAGTGTTGTTAAAACCTCCTTTCCTAGAGCATAACTGCAGTCTCTTGTGCCCTGTAGCCCAACATACTTTCCTCCGAGGTTCATGAAAACAGCACAATACCTTAGTATCTTTTCAGTGCCTGTTGTGTGTATATATCTCCTACAATAAGTCCCTGAACTGCAGCAATGTAGCTGTAATTCCTCTGACCAAATCTCTATTTGATAATTCCCATTCCTGTGTGGAAGTATCTGGATTCTCCTCAGATTCGGACCTCTAGCTCCTTAAGGTGCTCAGTAAGGGTCACAAAGCTCCGAGTCTGCCATCTGAGATGCACAGCATTCCTGCCTTTGCAGAAGTACAAGTACTGACAAACAACACTGCAGCTATGTGTTATTTCATGAGGCAAGAAGGAACATGATTATTTGGTGTAATTGGTGCAGTCATCATCCTGCAGCAAACGCTGAACATGTTCCTGGCCTTTAGAGCTCCTTGGCAAATCAGCAGCACTTCTTGGGCACCCAGGGGAATATGCTGTAAATGGGAATTCCTAGAGATAAATCTGCTTGCTGCATGCCAGAACTCCGCATTTCAAACATTCATTTTCAGAGGGGTAATTTTTCCACTGGGAGGCCTTTCCCATCCCCTGGCTTGATGTGTTACTTTTTACTCATCTTGATGCTATCAAGTTTCTGACAAAATGGGACATACTCAAGCTGGTCATGTTGTTTGTATAATGTGAGGGGCAATTCATATAATGAGATCTGTTGAAGATCTTTGCTGTCCCATCGTACCAGGACTTCTGGACACTTTTGTAGAATAAAAGTCAAACCTCTTTCCTGGCTCTAACATCACTGCATATGACATCCTGAATGCTGGCTTGATGACATCTGCCAAATAGCTGGCCAGGTTTGGAGCTCTTGAGGAGATTGATTTGGAAAGCTGAGTGGAAAAGCCTTTTTTGTAAAGATGTTTCAGCAAATTTTTCCTTTTCTGTGTCACAGCAAGAGGGAACTGTTTGATGTTCCATAAAAAATCAGTATGCAAAAATATTGTAATATTATCCTGCTTCCATAGACTGTTTTTTCTTTAGACTAGAGAAACAAGACTCCCCTGGAATCTTGTTCAAGACTTCCCTGGTTTCTGCCTCTTACAGTCTCAATATGAAGTTGTCATGTCTGTCTGGCAACACTTTGTAGATGCTTTGAGCGGAGACTGCTTTAGTAGGCAATATGTCAGCCTAAAGGATGAGGGTTTTCCAGACTATGTTGAGAATATCTCCACACAGGTAGGACAGGACCACTTTCACCTTTTATCGGGGTTTACTCCGTAACCATCTAAGTTCCCTGCTGGTTATCTTCCCTGTGTTTCGCCACAGCCTGGGTAAAGGCTCTGTGCTTTCACTCCTGAAAATATGTTTTTCTCTTGTTGTCCTGCTTAATGTTTGTAAGCTTGCCTATGTACTTGTGGTCCTGGGTGATATTGAAAAGCATTTCTGTGCTGTACAAAATACCTTACAATAGATTAATGCAGGCAGACAAAAGCTTGGGCCACCTCCACTGCATATTGGAAGAATGTTCCCACAGGTGGATTTTGCAAACCAGTGATTCGGACTTCCACCATCCAGCTTACAAACACTCTGGCAGTGATTCTGTAGGCTGACATCCAGGCATCACTTAAATAGGACTCAGTTATCTAACCCAAGAGAACAGCTACAAATCAATTGCTCAGGTGAAATCAATGTGGAAGATAGCTAAAAAAAGTGGTTGTTTAAATGTTTTTCCAGAATGTGTTGTCTAGCTAGATTTCTTTCTGTGCTAATGCAGTCCTGTACCACTTGGGCTCCCTACATCCAGAGAAGCTTGGGTCAAGTTGGGCCCCGCAGAAGCCTTTCTGCTCTCATGTGGGAGCAAGTGGATCTCTGGCTGACAGATACACCCTTTGAACAGATTTTACCAGTTTGGCAAATCTGATTTCCTTTATGTTGCTCACTGATATGGACACTCTGTACACCCCCTGCCTCAACATGCATGTAGCCTCCCTCTGCTCCTGTCATGGTATGACCACGAGATCAGATGACAGCAGAGACACTAAGGGACTCAGATACCAAACCACTTTAATCAGGTATATGTACTTTATTAATCACATGGTTTCCCTGTTCCACAGGAGAGATGATGCACTCCGAAAGAGAAGTCAGGTGGGTTAGTATAGTGTTTCTAGCCATCCTGCGTGTACTTCTGGTGGAGGGTCATGAGATACCCTAGATTGTCTCCCTGTGTGATTCTGAACACTGTCATTTCTAGGATAGTATAGAGATTACCAGATTCTTAATTGCTTCCTTGCATTTGGTGCCTAGCAAGTGGTTATCACTACTGGTGGTGTTGGCAGTCTGCTCATCAGAAAGACAAGCTGCTTTCCTTGAATTACTCATCTACCCCATTAACAAAGCTATTCCCTTACTCTATAGGGTTAGCTAAAATTCATCTCCTAAAGCTAACACTGTTGTCAGCTATGTCTGTCTTATGCTGACTGCTACAGCTTCTGCTTCCAGCAGAGGATCTAAGGTTGCCTTGAGAAACAGTAGCTCCTGGAAAACAGGCTGCAGCCTGCTACAGTATATAACACCTATTATGACCAGTCCAGCATAATTTCTGGTCTCTGTCATGGTTGCAGAGCCTATCCATAGAAATTTTTCCAGTGTCCTACGCACCTGAATAATATGGGGCTTTTCGTGCTATGGGGCAATGGAACTAAGTCTGTTCTCCTTCTCATTTGGTTGGTTGTAGTGTGCTTTTCAAGATCTGACTGCTGGCAGACTTCCCTGCCACTGCAGTCAGCCCTGCTTTGTTTTGTATTGAAATTGGTATATGCATAAATGACTGTGGATATAAAAACCTTACAATGGTGGGATCAACTTTGTACTTTGTTCAGGTGGGTTAGGTTGCAAAGCATGTACTGCAGGACAGTATTGTGTACAGTTCTGGTGTCCTCAACATAAAAAGGACATGGAACTGTTGGAACAAGTCCAGAGGAGGGCCACGAGGATGATCAGGGGACTGGAGCACCTCCTGTATGAAGATAGGCTGAGAAAGTTGGGGCTGTTCAGCCTGGAGAAGGCTGCGTGGAGACCTCATAGCAGCCTTCCAGTATCTGAAGGGGGCCTATAGGGATGCTGGGGAGGGACTCTTCATTAGGGACTGTAGTGACAGGACAAGGGGGTAATGGGTTAAAACTTAAACAGGGGAAGTTTTAGACTGGCTATAAGGAAGAAGTTCGTTACTGTGAGGGTGGTGAGGCACTGGAATGAGTTGCCCAGGGAGGTTGTGAATGCTCCATCCCTGGCAGTGTTCAAGGCCAGGTTGGACAGAGCCTTGGGTGACATGATTTAGTGTGAGCTGTCTCTGCCCACAGCAGGGTGTTGTAACTAGATGATCTTAAGGTCCTTTGCAACCCTGACTATTCTATGATTCTATGGCAGCTGTTCATACCAATCTTCGAGCTATTTTGTGCAGGCTTCTGTAGTTCTTCTAACTTCTTTCTCTCTTTTTCCCTTCCTGATCCTTTTAGGATGAAGACTCCGAAGAAAAGGTTGACCATGTAAGACTAGAGGTTTTCTAGGTGGATCCTGGCTCCTCTGAAGGGGATTAGTAGGACTCATCTACCCTAACAGGGGACTCTTGGAGAATAAGGCAAAGTGTGCGTCAGACGCAGTGCCTTTCCTGCACCCTTTGTTCCAATCACTGACAGGTTTTTTGTTATCTTTGGAACAGCTGTTCTTACCAGCTACTGCATTTTGTTCTGAGGTCACAGATACATACACGGCCATTGGAATGATAACTCTATTTTCATTTAAAAGTCAGGCCATCAATTAACTAATAGAGTACAAAACCTTACTGAGCCTAGATTTGCTGTCCAGTAGGGTCAGCTTGCTCATACAAATGAAAATTTGTCTTCAGGGATTATGAAGTCTTGCTGGTTCCCCAGAGGAGGAGGCCAGCCAGTGGTAACAAGGATGTGTGCCTTTGAATTTTCTGAATCCTTTTATTTTTTATTTTTTATTTATTTAATTTTTTTTTGCACTGGAATGCTAATATCTGTGGTTAAAAGGATGGCATAGTGCTTCTTACCAGGATCCTGTTACACAGAGAAAAGGAAGATACATGCCCTTTCTTACCCTGCAGCAAAGCTAAAATACAGCTTGGCATTCATTTGGCATTAGAGGCCAGGGTGGTGCCATTCAGAACAACCTGAGAACAAGCATGCTTTTCTGTTAAAAATCTTTGGACTAGTTGTCTTGCACTGTTGCTGACCATGGAATTGGTTTTGTCCAGTTTTTCCGGGCTAGAGTTGCTGTCTGTGTATGTTAGACGATTAAAACATCCTCTCCCTTACTCTTAATTCCTTTTGTTGAAGCACCAGCCAATACTGGTAGCATAGTAGATTCATTTGTGAAATTTAAAGCCCAGAAAAGAAACACGTATCACCCATCTCATTAATTCTGGCCTCAGAAGAGTACGCTCATCACAAGGAGTTAAAGACTATTCAGATTAGCTCAGTTTTCTCTTGGTAGTGCTAGAGATGATATTGTAGGAGAGATCCACTGGGTTTATTTGTCAGTGATGGATAGTTAAAGACTATGCCCAGAGCACTTTTCCATTTATCGGGTAAAGAGGCCTTCCACTGATGGGTATAGTTTTGGGGACTGGTTACCCAATAGAAATTTTTCCTGATAATTGATCTAAACCCACCCCCACCCCCCTGAACCAGTCCTTACAGTCATTTCACTGGAACTAATTCCACCTCCACACAGTGCCCTAAATCATTGATTCCCAAGGTCTGCTGTACTAAGTGGTAGCTGGTCACATGCCACAGGCATCTTCTTGCTCCTGGCTGCTAAATTTCATTAAAACAACTAAACCGATGTGACTCTTCCACATGAGCAATTATTGTTGCTTCAGGGACGTTATGCAATGGTGCCTGGCAAGGAGATTTTTCCTTGGTGTGAAGTGATCCCTGCTTTGAAACCCCTCTTGTCTGAGTAATTCCTTCACCCGTATTCAGGCTTATGCTCATGGTCTCACTTTATAGTATTTTTGCATTTTTTAATGCCTGTGAAGGATAACAAAATGGTTAACTGTGTGTTCAGGAATCTTACTGATCAGTAAGCTTTTTATAACTTAAAATACTATATGCTTACAAACTTCGGTTAATTGTATTGTAAGTCTTTTCCAAACCAGTTATTAGTGGAACTTTACTTTATAAAGTGTGATCCAAAACTTGCTGCAGTATATCCCTCCTTTAGTCATCGCCTGGCCAAGCTGAAATACTTGGCTTCTTGAATCATTTGTCCAAAGTTGGCCCTTTTGTCCCCCTGATGGCTCATGTAACCCTTCTCTGAACTCCCTTTGGGCTGTGCAGAGTGTTACAGTCTGAACTCTTCATGGATTTGGTCCCTTTCCTCTTGCTGTGCTGAAGATACTCTGTGACTGCCGGAATACCAGCAAACAGCCCCATCTGGACTTTTGATGTGAACGTACCTGCTTAAGTCCTGCCCTCCAGCCATTGCCTGCTTGGAGACTTGTTTTGCATCCCCTGGCAACCCACTCATTTTGGATCTGAATTTTTGCCAGGTGAATCACTCATTTGGCTGCACCTTCCAAGGCTGCCTGGGACATGTAGCCAAAAGGCTTTAAGGCTGATCAGTGGTATAATAAAGGGTGTATCCTAATATCTCAGTTAATTTGCAGAGGCAGAATAGGCAGGAGGAGTATGAACACGGCTGTGAGCCAAAATTTTGCTGGGTACTCTTCCTGGCATTGCCACGGATTTGCTCTGGGGCCTTGGAGAAGTCCCTCCTCTGTTTTTCTTTAGTCCCTGTCTGAAAGGAAGACTAGAGCTTTATGCAGAAGAACTGTGGGGATTCCCTAAACACAGATCCACAAGGGGCTTTTGATCCCTTACGCTCATAGCAAAATCCAGAGTCTGTATTAGGTAGTGTGTGGACAATCTCAGGATGGGTCTGGGGATCTATTAGGGTGATAAAAAGTGGCTGGGAACTGGAGTGTGTCTGAAACCCTGGCCTTCCATGGAGATCTGCCCCATTCTGAGAGCTCTGGGAGCACATGTCCCTCTGCTAGCAGTGAGTGATCCTGATCCCTATCCTGTGTTTTGTTGCCTTCAGCAGTGGAGCAAGGTTTTTCTTTGCATTCAGGGACTTCCAGGAATGGAGGTGTTCATTTGGATGTTGAAGCCACATGCTTTACACATAAAGATTAAACTCTTCATCTCCTTTCCGAGCTGCAAGATACTGATTTTATTGTCCTTTTCCTCCTACTGGGGGATGTATCAACTAATGTTTACACCACATCCTTGGAGAATATTATATGTAATGACAAAGCTATGAGCTGTTCTGGGCCAGAGAAGGCTCTCAGTTCTTTCTTCTGAAGCCACTCTGCTTTGCAAATGGATCTGAAAGAACTTTGGGGCTGCAGGGAAGAACTCTCTGACTGAAGGAAAACAGCATTTGAGTGGGAAGACATCTGTTCCAGTCCTAATGAATCTAGCTGGTGCCTTGTTCTCTGGTTGTGCTTTGGTCTTTCATGGACTGAAGAGGCGAGAGCACCTGATTTGTGACTGTTAGGTGAATGCAGACCTCTGTGGCTCTGTACCACTCAAAGATTGAGTGACAACATGCTTTAAGGCAGCAGTTGGAAAAAGGATTTGACGGTGTGACCTTTTCAGAGCTAGCACCCAAGTCCTTCTGTAGTTCTAGTTCCCAGTACTTTTAAAACAATTCTGGTGGAAAAATGAGAAGATGTTATTTAGGTTAAGACATGTCAGGAGCAATTGTTTTCAATGAATGTTTGTTGGAAGAACTATCAAAAAAATGTAAGAACCTGAAGTATGAAGCCAACTGTGGGCTTAAATTGCTAAATTGCTGAGTTCAGTGGGGCTGCTTGAGTGAGTGTATTTGCATCCTAAAATATAGCATAGAACGATGCAGAGACCCCCTGGTGAGAAGCAACCTTCACTCTGCCTGGGGAGGTACCAGTTTGGTTACCATAAGTACCTTAAGCTAGATCGTTTCCAGACTCAAGCTGACTCACATGGATCCTGCTTGCAGGTGTGTCTGCACCTGTGATGTAGACATAGCCTGGGGCTTGATATGATCAGGGCCTTTAATCAAACTGGTGTTTTCCTGACCCAGTTCTTACCCTCACACAGTGGTTGGCACCCAGCTCCACACTCTCATTCCATTGTCTGGTCTGATTTGGATCTGCAGAGCAGCCACCCTCCAAGTACTCTTCCCCACATCCCTGGAAACTTAGGAATATGAGACTGAGGAGCCCAGCAGTGGCTACACTCAGCTGGGTGCTTTCTGGGGGACCTTATTTGTGTAAAAATAATCAGAGTCATTTAGGCACTGTCCAGCCACTCTAGTTCAGAGAGTTCATGACTGAAAAAGTCGTGTGTAACTGTAATGCAGTCTCTTATAGCCCTTTTTGTATTTACAACTTATATTGCAGTAAGATCTAGAGAGCATTGGTGCACGATTAGGAAAAAAAATTCCTATTCCCAAAGACCGTATGGCCTGACAGCATTGTTTTTCTCTAGTGCCCTGTTCTCCCCTGTGATCTTCAATTTCTAGAAGAGCCCTCACCGGGGCATTTTGTATACTGCGCATTGCCAGGGTTTTGCCTTAGGCATACAATTTGGAGTGGAGTAGTCAGCTCTTGAAGCAACTGGAATCTCTGAGAACTTGGGAGGGTTCTTGTGAGACAGAATTTCCTGTAGCTGTTGCACATTGTCAATGCCCTCCCTTTTGCATGCTTGTCCTGGGCTGAGCTGAATTTGTCCCTCCATATCACAGAGTTTCTGTCAGCTGTTTGGATTCTTGCATTCTGCAAATAAACACCCACCACCAAAGGGAACCAGCATCCAAGGAATCATCGGCTTTTTTTACCTGCTGCCATTTTACAGGGATTGTTTCTTTTTCCCCAGTGGTCTTCGGTTGCTTGTAGAAATGCTGGATTCCCAGCCTGTTCCTGGGGACCGCTCAGCTGGAAGGTGGCCAGATTCTCCAGGAGGAATCTCAAAAATGCAGCTGAACTTTTGTTCCCTAATTAGGCCAACTTCCCTAGTGTGAGCCCCAGCACTGCATGGCCTGGAGCTCCCCAAGGTCTTGCACTGCCTCTCTCCTGTGCACCCCGAGTGGCCGGCCAGCAGGGCAGTTATTTTCAGCTTTCTGAGCTTATCTACCAGCCTTTTGATGACATCTACTGAAACAGCATTTCTAGTCAGCCATGTTTCCCAGCCTTTCTAGTTGTATCCTTCCTGCTTGGCTACCTTGATGTGGATTAGAGACAATCCCATTGAAAATAATACTATTCAAAGCTTTTCCGTATATTTATGCCACGCTTTCAGTGCTCCTGGACCCACCTGAAGGCAACAAAAGAACTGTAGGAGTGGTGGAGATGGATGTGGGAACATGTCTTAAGGTCCTTTCTAACCCTAACTATTCTATGATTCTGTGATTCTATGACAGTATGTAGCACAGGGTAACAGCAAACTGAGAGATGCTTAGGAATACTGGAAGGGCATCTCCCTCTTAACTATGGGTTGTGAGAGCGTTCTACTGTGGTAACTCCTTGCTCAGAGAATCAGATTATTGTGTGCTGCTTCACTGTTTTGATGCAGTAATTCCTGAGACAGGTTAAGCCAAATGCTGCAATATGACAGCTTTCATAGCTGCCCATGTAAGCTGACTAGCTAGCTGACCATTATTTTAGGGAAGAAATTCCTGATAGCTGTTTAACAATATGAGCTGCACCTTTGCATGCTATGATGTTTGAAGCTCCCCAAGAACTTTCTCTGTCTCAATAGCACCTTCCCTAGTAAAGACAGGTCAGTGACCATGAAGGACAGTTTGTGGATGAAAGGGAAATCCAGTATTTTCTGCTAGGAATTTAAGACATGCAGAAGTCATTGGAGGGTATTTATTAAAATGATAGGTACTACTTTGAACTGTCTGTGGACATGATGAACAGAGCTAGCAGAGACGGGTTGTTCTTTGCAAAAAGCCAAGGCTTGCATAGATCTTTAATTGATCCCTTTTTGACATCATACATTCTCTGAAATCAGTATAGACTGTGTTATGTGGCTGCTTGGAAGCAGTAGGGCTATTTGACTTACAGCTCCTTAACTGACAGCAGTCAGAACTAATCCATCAGGCCTGGTTTTGGAGATTTGTGTTTCCTCAGTCAGAAGAGCCTCAGGCAGCTATCTGGAGAAGAGGAAATTAGAGACTGGCCATACTTCTTTCTTTCTGCACTGTGGTCAGTATTGGATAAAAAAAAAAGGCACCTACATACTGTATAAAATCTCACAGTGTTTGTGTATTGGGCAGAACGTAGATCCCACACATTTTAGGAGATGTATTACATGACAGAAAAATTGTGTGTCCTCTGTTGCATGCTGCAATGTCATTTGAATCCCTGCTTCCCTGTACAGAGAGCTCACTGTTTCAAAGGAGTTGTCATGTTGATGAAGGTAAATTAATCCGTATTTCCAGACCCACCTGAGAATCTGAGTGACCAAACATGTCTGTAATCTGTGTTGTGGTAGGTCCTAAAAGAAACTTTGCTGGATCCTGAGGATCCAGAGACACACAGGGTAGTTGCTTTCATGAGGAAAGCAACATCCAACTAGCACCTTCAAAACTGCAGACATGATCTGACAAGTAGCCTGGAAATTTCTGCCTTAATGGGGAAGCCAAATTAGAATTCTACATCTGTCTGATAAGAAAGGGCCTCACTACAGATAAAGAAGAACAGAGTTTCTACTTTAATGCAGGAAAGATGGAATTCAGGCCAGTCATTTTTCAAAGGAGAGATAAAATTCTGATTATAGTGGTAATATGAAAGTGTTGGTAGGAAGGTGGCCTGAGAAATGCAGGAAAAGTGCCATCACAAAAATGGTGAGCTGGATTTCTGAGGGGAAAAAAAAAGAAAGAAGAAAAAAAACCCAAACTAAAAAGCTGATCATGGCAATGTTCCTTGAAAAGGAGACTATCTGCAGAAACTAAGGTAGAAGAAACCTTCTGGAGGTGAATAACTGACAAAGCTGAAGTGGGAAAGCAAACCACAGCAAGTAAGTGGTTAGTGTGAAACAGAGTGAGCAGCATGATCTGAGAGAGAACACTGTTGTCAGGAGGTGGTGGAATCTCAGTGTTTTGAACACCAGTGTGTTTTGGTGGACAGTTTAGGTTTTGCATTTGGGAACATACGTAAAAATCTTGCCCAAATAATATGTAAGTACCAACAAGTTCTATCATTTAAAACCCCCAGTCTTTTTCACCAAAAAGGTATGCTCAGGAGCAGATTTGCTCCATTATGGAAGAACAGTGTCCTCTTTCTGCTCTGCTCTCTCTGGGGCTGACATTCCTCCCACTTTTTGCCTCAAGCTCTTGCTTGCAGCTTCAGTGTCCCTAACTGTCACCACATTATGGCAATGTATGACATTGCATTCTCAATTGTAAATTATGCTGAGGTTTTGGAAATGTGAAAGTATATGAAGGTAGGTGTATTTACTTGACAAAAGTGCATGTGGCATGTGACTTTATTATGGCACTTTCCAGGCAACTAACAAAGAAAAGCTATTTATCCTTAGCTGACAGTTAACATTGTCTTTCCTGTTGCTTGTGCTCCTGTAGACAGTTCAGTAAGAATTACCTGTTTTATTGCAAGAGGAATAAAAGACCTGTAGGTATATGTGAGGTGTTTGTCAGGGTCTGACATTCAGGCTTGCCTGGTGTGTATGATCATAGAATCATAGATAAGTTAGGGTTGGAAAGGACCTTAAGATCATGTAGTTCCAACCCCTCTGTCATGGGCAGGGACACCTCACACTAGACCATGTCGCCCAAGGCTCTGTCCAGTATGGCCTTTAACACTGCTAAGGACGGAGCATTTACCGCTTCTCTGGGCAACCTGTTCCAGTGCCTCACCACCCTCACAGTAAAGAACTTCTTATATCCAGTCTGAACTTCCCCTCTTTAAGTTTGAACTCACTGCCCTTTGTCCTGTTGCTACAGTCCCTGATGCAGTCCCTCTCCAGCATCTTTGTGCGCTCCCTTAGATACTGGAAGGCTGCTATGAGGTCTTCATGCAGCCTTCTCCAGGCTGAACAGCCCCAACTTTCTCGGCCTGCCTTCATACAGGAGGTGCTCAAGCCCCTGACCATCCTTGTGGTCCTCCTCTGGACTTGCTTCAGCATCTCCATGTCCTTCTTATGTTGAGGACACCAGAACTGCACACAGTGCTCCAGGTGGGATCTCACGAGAGATCAGTGCAAATATATAACATTGGCAAGACATTGTAATCAAAGCCCTGGATGCCATGAAGTCATCCCCTATGCAAAGATTGAGGCGGTCATTCTCATCCTCTGATGTGGTGTGTCCCACTTGATGTATCTTTGATCTGAAGGCTAGTTTTGGTGATGAGGGAACTAAATTACAGGTGCATTGGAACGCCCTGGAGATGTGTTTTCCCTCAGCCTTAAGGCCCAGGTTCTTTGGTGACATTTGTTAGTTCCATGCACCTTTGTAAGGAGTTGTGAGGCTGTGTGTTGGGAACATGGCCGGCTGACCATCAGAGGGATGGTGTAAGGGGAAAGGAGTTGCTTGCATGCGTGGGAAGGATCCATGTGTGAGGGAATGCGTTTTTTGAGGTAGGGGTGTGTGTGATGGGAATAGGGATGTTTATGTGGGCATGCACGCCCATATGTGGTGTGTTTTTCCCCTTTTTCCTGGGCTCTGGGTGTGTCCAGATGAACTGAATTCAAAATGCTCCTTTTTTGGCACTGTAGTCTCTTCTCTGGTTTGGCATCTTAAGAATCTGGGGGAATCATTTAAAGATCAGAAAACTCCATTCAATTGGGCCCCTGAAGGCTTCACATTCTGTGACATGGTCATTCCAGTCGACTGAGCTCTGTCCCCTGCGGATGAGCCCATATAAGGAGGCTGTTTCCTGTGTTTCACGCTCCCTGCCTGTCCCTCTGCCCTCCTGTGCTCCCTTTGCCGAAGAAAGCTGGTATTTTGGGACTGTGGCTCCTGCCTCATTCCTGCTCCCTGTTTATTTTTGGAGGATGACTATTTTTGCTCCTATCAGGGAGCTATGCAGGGTCATGCCCCGTCCCTGCAGCAGGCAGTGGCTGCCCCTGGCAGGGTCTCTTCATTTCCCACACTTGCAAACAATGCTTCTGCTTCAAGAAATAAACACGGGAGACCCCTACCATCAGGGGTTAGCTCAACTCCTTCCTCATTCGTGGCAAGAGGTAATTTGGCTTTGTCTCAGGGTTGACCCCACCATACATGCAAGGTCCTGTCTGTCAAGTCAAAAATCCTCAGGAGTGACCCAGTTCATCCCCTTAATAAAAGCTGTGGGAGCCACCTGTCCCCCCATCATTGCTCCAACTTAGACTCCTTTTCAGTTACCGTTTTTTCCCTGTTTCAGGACATCTTTTACGCATCATCCTTTCTCATGATGCTCCCTTCACACGCCCCTGCAGCCCATCTTGCCACAATGGGCACCACAACTGGGAGTTGTATAAACTGAAATTCATCTGTTGGATTCACCATGCCTCCTTTCACCACTGCCTGTTGTGCAAAGCACTGAAGGCACTGCTGCATGAGGTGCTTCAGGCAGGAGGAACAGAGCCCAGAACTGCAAAAGGAATAGGCTGCTCCCACACGGTGGGAATTCATAGCCCTGTTCTTTGAAAATTCCCATCGTAACCCTCAGGCTGAATTCCTGTTTTCTCTTGCCACACGGCAGAGTGCCACACGAGACAATGCAAGATAATAACAGGGAGTGCCTTTAAGCTCCAGATGAACTTCCCCTTTAGCATTTCAGTGGTGGCAGTGCTGGGTTTCATCTCAACTAACTTTAACTTTAGAGGTATTTGGTATGGCTGGCTGTATCTGCACTTCATCTAACCTCCTCTTCTAGGCAGTGGACAAAAGCAGACACTTTTTAGGAACAATTCGCAGTCTAAAGCAAGATGTCTAAAATGTGCTGACTTGTACCCTAGGAAAGATGTAACATGTGATACCTCCCACTGAAATGTGGGCAGCAGTTCCCAGTAGCCATATTTTGCCAGGAGAACACATCATCTGTGGATCAGCCTGCTGCTGTACTGTGTGTTCTGGACAAGTTAAAGATACACAGATGAGAAACCTGTCAAGATACTGATTAGAGTAATATATTTTTTGTTTACCTGGACACCTACACCCCTGTTTTGTAATATTTGTCTTCCTTTTATTTTATGAATAGGCAACATTTTGAACACTACCTCTCCAGCTATTATTTGGTAAAGTTTTACATTAATATATGTGGACCTGGTGTCTCAGTCGGCTTGACTTTACCTAGACTGGAGCTGGCTCTAATGTGTCTCTTCTCTGTTTTAAAGGGTCCACCACCTAAACCCCCACGCCGGCAAGGAGGCTGGGCAGATGATGCTGTAATGGCAACTACCAAGTAAGTCCTCATGTTTTTCCTTACTAAGAGGGGCTTAGGCAAGGATTAAGTGAACATCACTAGTTGGGCTTTGCTGTTACAGGCATTGGAACAGTTTTTCTGGATGTTGTAGATGGTGTGTGTCTCTCCTTCAAACCGTTTGAGGTACTGCTCTTGCTTGGTTCTGCGGGCTAATGCTCTTCATAAATTGGCCTGGCTGGGCCACTGTGTACACGTCACTGTCTGCCAGAGGCAGTGTATTCCTTACCTGGTATAGTAACTGAAAGAAGTCAAGAACATAATAAGCATGTTAAATGCAGGAGCAGGGAGGGGGGGATTTCACTGGTTGTGCCCTTTCCAGGAGAGTGACACATGACAGTGCCCCACTGACAAGAATGCAATGAACAGTTCAGCATTCAGTGATCAGCCTTGACAGTAAAGGTGAAATTTGTCAATGTTTGTGTGTGTATGGGGTTATGGTATAATGGAAATGGATGGAAATGGTCAGCGATAAGAGATAGGAAGAAAAAAGTATACAAATTGTAGAGTGTAGGTTGAGAATCCTGGTGCTTATGAAGGACACCTAAAGGAAAGGAAATACATGTATGTGGTAATAGAATGGGTATGAAAACTGAAGGACAGTTCAGACTGGGAGATGACTTGGTTTCAAACTATTTGTTAGTTTTCAAGCTGTAAAGTTGGGCTGGTGTTGTATTTCCTATTCGCAGAGCTGAAGGGCTCAGTGACAGTGTGAGATTGCTTGTGTACATTAAGGCTTATAATAAGAGTGTATATGCCTGACATATACTTTGGAGGCACTGAATTATGGAAAAAATTCGTATTTTCTTTCCTGGAACCCTGAGAATGGGAGAGGACGTCCAGAGGGGGGTGAGAAGGGTGTTCTGTATTCTGGGGCAGCCTTTCTGGAAAACAGTACTTTTCTGGGAAAATCATCATTCTGTTTCTGAAGAATAAATCAGCTGAAAATGTGAAGACTGGAGTAAAGGAATTAAGATCTCGACCTGAACTCCTTCTGCTCCTCTCTAGCTTAACTCTGATAATGGTACTATTTTGCATAGGCTGGCTGCAGCTAGAAGTTACCATTGTAAAGATGCATCCACCTCAGGGTTATAATAAAATGCCACCAGTGATCCTGGTTCTTTGCAGGAGCAAGCAGAAGCTTTATGGAAATGTGACAGCAGACAAGGGTGAATGACACTGTTTAGGAAAAATAATTGTTGTAATTGTTGGCTAGGTGAAGGTCTGGATTGGAGGTAATACAGTTATTAAGGGCCTGGAGGACAGTGCCTGATGTGCCCTGGAGGACAGTGTGCAGGTTCCTAATGCAACAGCAGTGTGACATGTGCTACTTTGAGATGTTTTCCGTTGTTTGATACAAACCTCATCTGATATATTTAGAGCAGTAGCTATCAGTGATGCTTGTCCATTGTCCCAGCTGCATGGTTTACAGATACAGCAGGTGTATGGAGTAAATGCTCCTGTGAGGTTGGATTCAATTCAGTTGAAGAAGCAGAACAGGAGATAGAAGGCTGCAGACCTTTCTATCTGTGAGACCCTGCACAATGGCACATGAGGTGAAGATGTGCCCCTTCCTCAGTCATGCATATGATGCCCATGTTGTATCTGGCAGTATTAGTTTAATTTGTATTAAGGACTTTTATTGAATAGATTTTATGAAGGAGAGGTTTGTTCTGACTTCCTTTGGTCATGTGAGGTACAAGGATTTTGTACAACTAGTTCCCCTATCTTTTCTTTCCTTCAGCTGTGTATTCTCCCCAGGGTGATCTCTCTCCTTGTCTCCCATATAGAAGTGAGCTGCTGGCCTGTAAGGCTGTCTTTGTGACATATCCCAGAGTAAAGCCTTCATGTGAAAAGTCTGAGTCATCGGCTGATGTCATACCAATGTTGCTGTAGCTTTGTTGTTTCTGTTTTCTCAGGCTCTGTCTCCCCACAGCTTTTCAACCAGTTTGACTCAGGTTGGAAGCCCATCAAGTTAACTTGTTTCAATTTCACTAACTGTAGATGTAGTTAGAATAACATGCTTCTGTTGATATATCTGATGTAGGTATAAGAAGTTTTATGCCAGTGTAACTGAGCCTACACTTGGGAATTGTACTGCTTTAAGTAATTTCTTTTTTCAAAATGGACAATGTAAAAATTGTAAATTCTGTTCTGTTCCTTACGCTGTGCAGAGAGGCTACAGATACTTAAACTATTTTATACTATATTTCTAGTTCAGAGTCTTACCAATGTGACATCATTTGAAAATGTTCTTTTTGTTTCCATTTGGTGCATACTAGAGTAACATTTAATTTGCAACTTGTTTTTCTGTTTTTCAATCTTTGCTGCTCCTTCTTAGTCCCTTCCCTGCCCAGCTCTTGTCATACCTAGGTGATCCTGCAAATACTCTCACCGTCTTGCTGGTTCCTTCTGTCAGACTACTGCTGTCTCAGACTGTTGCAAGACAGGAAGAGGAGAAGTGCCCTTAAACTTTTCCAACCTGCAGTTAGTTTTGAAATTAAATCTCACAGATGGTGTGCAAGTAAGATGCACTGTTTTATCATGAGTTCCCATAGCATTTGCAAGTGTCAGGTATTTAAATTCCAGAAAATTAGTAAAATGCTGCCTTTAGTGGTAAGTTTTCAGAAGTTGAGCATGGAAAGATTACTTTGCTCTTCTGGTACCTCTGTAGAATAGCTGTCATTGCTAGGAGTCCCATTTTGTAAATCTGGATAATGAAGAGGACTGCAGGAAGTGTCTGAGCAAACCCTCAGACTGGTCCTCTGCAGTCAGCAAATAAATGGTGCAAAATAGTGACAGAAGTCGTTTTCCCTTACTGGTGGGGCCCTCTGCACCAGGGTCTACTGTATTTGTTTAAATTTGTATTCAAAGAGGAGAATCAGTCTCTATGAGAAGAGGTAGTCCCAGCAATATTCCAGCCCCAGTATTAGAGGAAAGGGGACCAGCCAAGAACCTAGACAGCCACTTGGGGCCTGGTACCCTGATGAGATTATATAAATAATAGTAATTACATCTGGGTTTGCTACAGAAGCAATTCTCTAACCACTGGATGGAGCCCAAGTGCCATTCTGAACGCTCTGCTGATGTGCTTAATGTCATCAGTTTTGACACTTGTGACAAGCAAAGCAGAGGTTTATTGTCAGGTTATCTCATGTGTCAGAAAGAAGAAATACAAAGCACCTGCCAGTGGGAAAAGGAAAGGAAAAAGTTTTGCCTACTGGTAAGGATTTGACAAAGGAGAGGTACTTCCAGAATCCATTAAATTCCAGCCTCTGCTGATCTTATCTATCTGACTTCCTCTATAGAATTACTGCCATTTTCTTCCCTATTAGTATCTTTACTTCTTTGCTTCTCAGGACACTTCCAGTTCACTTGGGTCCTTTACCCCTTGGTCTTGCAATCAGCCCCTTAAAATTCATACAGTTCTGCAGGCAGCAACTAGGATTGGTGTGGAATAAATGCGGCTTATTTCAGGTGGCCCTACAAGCAAATGCAAATACGGCTTTCAGTAGGAAATCCCTTCCAGTGCTTGCATGTGTATCTCCTTTCTCTGCAGGGATTGTGGCAGTTTAGCAACAAGTGCTCCAGCTACAACTGAAATTTCTTCTTTCTGACTGGTAGGTCATACAGAGTGGTAATGAGATAAGGGAGTTCAAAACTCCGTGTTCCTGGAGTTTTCTCTGAATCAATTATAATCAAGACTTACTTAGAAAAATGACCATGCTGAAGATTTTGGGACAGAAGTGGTGGTATGGTATTCAGGAATGCATTTAACAAGAATGCAAATATTACGGGCCTGTAGGAAGGAAGTGGATGTGGTTGGGGTGACCTTTAGAGCAGGGTAACCCAGTCTCCATGTAGGTATCATTTAGGGCTCTGGAGGGTGGGCAATGGTGAGACTGCACCCTCGAGATGGAGGAAAGTTATTTAAGAGATTAAGCAGTTTTATGATTCAAGGTCTCTAGAGGTAAGTAAAGTTAAAAACCTCCTGTTTCAAAAATATGGGTTTAAACTATCCTGTGTTGTAGTTATATGAAATGACCCTTGAGAGTGCCTGGTTTATAGAACCTCTAGCCATCCCTGTTTTGCAAGCGGGAGTAGTAAAGTGCTCACAAGTTTCTCTGTCTGACATGGTAGAGGAAGCTTTTGTCATTGTTTCTGTCCTCTACTCCCAGTGTTGAGGTAAATCTCAGGCTGGGCTTCCCCGTGACACTGCCATGTTAGGGGCAGAGCCAGGCTCCTCACTGTAGGGAAGACGGCAGCCTCACTGAGGACATCTATGGGGATGTCCTTAGTAATGGGAAGAGCATAGGCACAAAGGATCAAGGCTGCAGTGAGGGGCACAACTTAGATGGAGAAGAAAGAAAAGGAAGTCTGATTAAGTTTTGTCTTGAAGTGTCTGTTTTTGGGTTTGTCCCTGCATTGATCTGCAAGGGAATGAGGCAAGTAATGGCCCCTTGGGGACCTTCAGGACTTTCCTCTCAATGTCAGCCGTCATTTTCAATCACCCTCTCCCTCCCAGCCATTAATTTTGGCCCAGGATCATGGGGACTTGTCCATCTATCACTCCTAATTGACACTAAATGATCTGTCAGTTTATTGATGAACGGCAGGAGTGGAATTGTCACAATATATTTTACTTTCTAACAACTCCTCCTGACAATTTTACCTTGTCCATCTCACTCTCCTCACATAAATCTCCGTTGGCCTCTCATTCCTTCTCTTGGGCTGATCTGGTGCCAGCCGCCTCCATGCTATCGGCACGCATCAAGGACATCAAGATGGTGGTGAGCTGCAATGTGCAGGCCCAGGGTGGATTTTTCCTCTCTCTCCCCCCACCTTTTCTTTTTTCCTTTTTTTTTTTTTTTGATTTAATAGGCTGGATGTTCCAGGAATGCTAACAGACTCTTGTCCCTCCATGTCATTGCTGGGGTGAGCTCTCCTTGCTGTTTCTCTTTAGACTCAGTAAAGGTAACTGG